CAGGCATTAGCGGTCCAGGCGAATCTGGGCTCAATCTTTCCAGACTCACCTGTGGCCACAAGCCCGTGCTTATATTCCAGTCCCCAGATCATAATAAAGAGTTGATTCATGTAGCTTCCCTGACAAAACATGCCTGGGGTGTGTGTGTGTGTGTTGTGTGTGTGGTGTGGTGTGTGTGTGTGTGTTGTGTGTGTGTTGTGTGGTGTGTGTGGTGTGTTGTGTGTGTGTTGTGTGGTGTGTTGTGTGGTGTGTTGTGTGTGTGGTGTGGGGTGTGTGTGTGTTGTGTGTGTGTTGTGTGGTGTGTGTGGTGTGTGGTGTGTTGTGTGGTGTGTTGTGTGGTGTGCGTGGTGTGTGTGTTTTGTGTTGTGTGTGTGTGTTGTGTGTGGTGTGTGGTGTGTGTGTGTTGTGTGTGTTGTGTGGTGTATGTGTTGTGTGTTGTGTGGTGTGCGTGTGTGTTGTGTGGTGTGTGTGTTGCGTGTGTGTTGTGGGGTGTGTGTGTGGTGTGTGTGTTTTGTGTTGTGTGTGTGGGGTGTGTGTGTTGTGAAAGCAAAGCGCCTTTATTTCCTTTATAGTTCACTCACCCTTGTTTTTGATACAGGGTCACACTCTGTCGCCCTTGACAGAATGCAATGGTGCAATCACAGCTCACTGCAGCCTCAACTTCCCGGCCTGGCCAATTTTTTAATTTTTTTGTAGAGACAAGGTCTCGCCATGTTACCCAGGCTGGTCTTGAATTCCTTGGCTCAAGCAATCCTCCCAGCTCAGCCTCCCAAAAAGCTGGGATCACAGGCATGAGCCACTGTGCCCAATCTGTACTCTTTAACAACCTAATCTTAGACGTGCCCTACCATCGCTGTTGGTGGCACAGACCAACCCCGGAATGTCAGGTGTGGGCTGTGAACAGCAGGAGACGGGGCGCCATCTTGGAGGCTGGCCACCACAGGTATTTTTATGAAAAACGTTGGGCTGTGGAGTGGAATGGAATCAGGACCAGGCCAGGCGTCCCGGATTCCTTCACTGCTGATGGAACTCCGCCTAGACACCCCATAATCACGAGCAAGGGCTGTATCCCGTGGGTCTCGCAAGCAGGAAATGCCTCTTTAAGAAATGGCTGACTTCCTCCTGCAGACACCATTTTAAATGCTCTGCAGAAACATTTGGTGGAAATGGCAGAGATAATTTTGGCCATGCAACTCCTCCAGGCATATCTTGCTTTGTCACTAAAACTCTAGATTTAGGAATTATTCTGGCATTCCCTCCAGCTGCTGAAATGTCTAGATGTCAATGGTTTATATGTGTCTTTTTTAGTTGTAGCCAAGATATTTCAAACTTATCTACCAGATCACAATTAACTTGTTTTTTAACCCAAGAAACCAGCATATTAAGTGATCACATATTGTGGATATCATAACTCATTAGAGCCTTTTCCTTTTTCCAAGTATATACCCCAGCTGATTGAAACACCTATCCGTGGGAACTTGAGCTGACGTAGTTAATAATATAGTATTTCTGCTTCTACAGTGGCAGAGAGAATTTTGGCATATCTAAAAGAAACGTATTTTTATTATATTTATATTATATATAATTTATATTATATTACTAAATATGATATATATTATTTTGTCATATATCTTTCAGATATGCCCAAACTCTCCTTGCCATTATAAAATGTATAGACATATGTAAATAGAATGTATATATTTCTATGTAGAAAACCATACTATTAAATGTTTTGTGCCAGGCCTGGTGGCTCATGCCTGTAATCCCAGCACTTCTGGAGGCTGAGGCGGAAGGATTGCTTGAGCAATCCTGGGCAAGTTTGAGAACAGCCTGGAGAACCTGGTAAAACCCTGTCTCTACAAAAAAAAAAAAATACAAAAATTAGCCAGGCATGGTGGTGTGTGCCTGGAGTCCCAGCTACTCAGGAGGCTGAGGTAGGAGGATGACCGGAGCCCGGGGAGGTTGAGGCTGCAGTGAGCCCTGATTGTACCACTGCCCTCCAGTCTGGGTCACAGAGTGAGGCCCTGTCCCACTCAAAACAAAACAAAAGACGTTCTGCTCTTGAAATGATTATCCTAAGAATAAGTGGAATGACATGGTGAAATGAGTTTCGAGGTATAATAGCCAGGAATACACTTCAGGAGTTCTGTACCCACCTTATGCATGAAGCTTTTCTGTGGTGGGGAAATCTTTTGATTACTGGAAACATACACACAGCTGATGGCATTCTTCAGTCTCACAATTGAAGGTGACACCTTCACGCCTAGTGCTTGGTCAACGTGGACAAAAGGAGCCACGTTCTGGAAATGGTGAAGATGCCATGGGCCATTTCCACACGTTTCAGCCTAGGAAGGTGGTCGTCTTTTGGTAACATCTAGATAGAGAAAGCGAGGCAGTTGAATCCTAAATCTTATGTTGATATGCAATCCAAAAATAGCATATATTGAAGATTTTTATATACTTCAACATTTTCCGTGGAAGGCCTTTATATTCTTAGTTATAGGCAAGAGCCCAAGATTTCTGAGATTCCACAGCCAAGTCATCAGTGAAATAGAAAGAAAAAACACTCTTACTGGATGCCACATGCAAGAGACGGTGACAGTGTCGGGAAAGAACGCCATTGCTATTTTTTACATCTCTTTCACTATAGTAAGGGTGTGAATTTTAAGTGACATTTTCCAACTAAGTGAAAATCACGGGGGGCCGGGGAAAGTGAATGGAGGCAATTAGACACCAAAAGAAGCTGCAGGCCTCCGTGTTGAAGGAAAATTCCTACTTGATTTCAAATATTTTCCACCAAGACAGTTTCCTGCCCTATGCTAACCCCACAGAAGCAACGTTAGACACAAAGCTGGTGACAGCGGTGGTAGCGATCGCGGCTCTTGGCATCTTACCCCTTTCTCGGCTATTCCCTGTGAGGTGCAAGCGAGCGTTTGCACAACCTGGCGCTCAGTCTCACTGGAAGCAAAAGAAGGGATCCTTTCAGCTCCGTTCCACGTTCTGTAACTCCCCCTCCTGCTCTAGATGAGCAGCTCTTGAAAATCAAGCTGAGGCACATCCAGCATGGAGCGGAGGTCTCTTTCCGTTCCATTTTCTGCCACGCGGGAATCAGTCTGTAGGAGGCCTTTGTCTTCCTTCTCCCTGCAGTGATCTGTGGCCGTTTGTATGTCTGTGGCCGCAAAAATATTTCTGGCCCCACATGCTCTTCTAGAACCTCGCCACCACTCCTGCAATAGGAGCGAGGCGTCTGTGTCTTTTGCCCTTGAAGCCGAGCTGGACTTCGTGATTGCCTCCACGAAGATGTGTGAACCCCGAATATTGGAGACAGGTTTCCGTTAATTTAGAAAGTTCATTTTGCCCAGGTTGAGGATGTGCGCCCATGACACAGCCTCGGGAGGTCCTGAGGACATGTATCCAAGGTGCTCAGAGCACAGTTTGGTTTTAAACGTTTTAGGGAGACAGGAGACATCAACCCACATACATAAGAGGGACATTGGTTCGGTCCAGAAAGGCGGGACAACTCAAAGCAAAGGAGGGATGACTCGGACAAATGGTCGCATCTTTTGAGTTTCTGATGAGCTTCTCCAGAGGAGGCAGTCAGATATGTATTTACCCCAGTGAGTAGAGGGGTGACTTGGAATAGAAAGGGAGGCAGGTTGGCCCTACGCAGTTTCCAGCTGGACTTTTCCCTTTAGCTTAGTGATTTTGAGACCCCAAGATTTATTTCCCTTTCACAGATGCAATGAAAGGAAGTGACCCTCTGTGCCTTCCAAGACTAGGTCTTAAAAGGTAACGTGACCTCTGCCTGGTTCTCTCTCTGGGCGTTTCAAAAATCATTTACTTGGTATATACCACCATTCTGTGAGGAAGCCCAGGCTGCAGAGAGAGGCCTTGAGTAGCGGTTGCCACCAATAGCTGCCATCCCCGCTGACAGCCACCGCCACCCGTCAGACGTCTGTGTGAGGAAGCCTTTGAGATGTCTCCAGCCCCGGGCACCACCTGACCACACCTGCCTAAAAGACCTGAGCAAGAACACCTGGCTGAGGCCAGTGACCCCCAGCACTGCAGAACTATAAGAAAAAAAATACTTACGATAACTATCTACAATAAAATATGTACTTGTTGTTTTATGCCATTCTATATTTCTTACACAGCAAGTGATAACCTGAACACAATCGGAAAAGATAAAAGATCAAACAGTTTAGAATTATACTCTTCACACATTTTTGTTTATGTAATCACCTTATAGGATTTTTAAAAACCGTGTATGTGCTCACACATTTTTGAGTTTGTTCCCGGACCAAACCGAGGGTCAGGCTGCTAATTCTTGCAGCCCAATAATGAGATGCAGATGAACTGAGAGAGAAGGGAGTTTTAATTTCTGTAACCAGTTACAGGGAGAAGACCTGGAAATTATCTGCAGACCAACTCAAAATTACAGAGTTTTCCAGAGTTTGTATACCTTCTAAGCTATATGTACATATGTAAGTGTGCATTTCTCTAAAGACATGCGTGATTAACTTCTTCTAATCTGTAACTAAAGTCTGAGTCTTGAAGACCGTCACTGGGGCCTCAGTAAACGTATTTAATCTAAATGGGTCCAGGTGCTGGGGTGATTACCCTTATCTTGTCTCCTGCTAAATTACGGAGGTTTGGGGAGTTTCTTCAGACCCCCAATAAACTTGTTTGTGGAGGCCTGGAGAGTTTTTTCAGACCCCCAATAAAACTTGTTTAATCCTAAACGGGTTCTGTTAAGAATTCCTTCATTATTTTGTCATGATTTAAGGGCCAGGAAAGGTCTAGGCAAAACTCTTGGTGGGCTTTTGTTACACTCCAGCCTTTGTTTGACGGCACTGGCTTTCTCAGCCTTTAATGTTTGATCGAACCATTCAGTCAGTGCCGAAACGTTGTTATGGAGGCCTGTGTTAGTGACATCTGGCCTGCCACAAGTTGTCATCTAAAATTTTTGTTATTTTAAATGTATGCAAAAGAAAATTTTATGCAAAATCATTACATGATTGTCTTAAATGCACTAACCATTTAACATCAGCACCATTGGATAGCTATGATCACCCATATTTAAAATACAAGAAAGAACCATTTCTTCCTTAAGAGTCAAATATTTCATATTGTTTTTAAATCTCTCAACTGGTGTTTCTATTCCATCTCCTCCATAGGATTTTATTCTAATGTAATAAATATTTATATTTGAAAATCATTTATTGATTACCCTGTCATACTTTTCTGTAAAAAGAAGATATATAAATATACAGAAATTATAGATGTTTTTATTTCCACTGATCACAAATTATTCTTCAATGCCTTACAGTTTTTATAAACATTAAGATAATATTTTATAGTCAATAATTCCATTAATGAGATGAGTAAGACTGTTATTTACTTTTAAGTCTTTTTTATTATTTTAAGTATCCATAGATGAATATTATCTTTCTGTAGAATGAGCCAAAGTTCGACATGAATTTTATTCCTGCTTTTTTAAAATTTGTATAGATATAAATGCCAAGGCAACTTATCCACATAAACAAGGAGATGGAAATGGAGGCAGCGTTGATGGAAGGATGTCACTGGTTATTCCAACTTCTTCCAAATGATATGCTAGAAATCACATAGGGAACCATTAGCGTCACCATTTCGATTCTATCCAAAGTCAACTCAGGTACATCTGCCTTCAATTTTACTGAAAGTAAAGAATTTGAAATTGATGGTTTCAAGTTTCACGGGTGTCCAGCCCTTGGAATGCAAGGACTCTTTTGCTTATCTGTGGTGGTGATACCACGAAAATAATGCACAGACCTTTTTTTTTTTTTTTTTAACTCATCAGCTATCGTGAGTGTTTGTGTTTTTCATGCGTGGCCCAAGGCAATTCTTCTTTCAGCGTGGCCCAGGGAAGCCAAAAGGTTGGACACCCATCCTTTCCCCAGGGCCGAGTCACTCACATTCTCCACTTCTGGGAATCATAGTAAAAAGGCCTTACCAAGACGTATCAAATGAATATTAATTTGTACCTTTTACTTTCTTGCTTAAGGCACCTGTCTAGCTGCTTATACTCAGAAAGGACTGAGAAAATGGAAACATGAATCATGTCAATAAACCTTTTCCCAAAGAATGCTTTTGAAAGAATGCTCTTTAGGCCAGATGCGTGGCTCACACCTCTAATCCCAGCACTTTGGGAGGCCAGGGCAGGCGGATCACTTGAGGTCAGGAAGGAGTTCGAGACCAGCCTGGCCAACATGGTGAAACCCCGTCTCTACTGAAAATACAAAAATTGGTCAGGCATGGTGGCACTCGCCTGTAATCTCAGCTACTCTGGAGACTCAGGCCTGAGAATCACTTGAACCCAGGAGGTGGAGGTTGCGGTGAGCCGAGATCACGCCACTGCACTCCAGCCTGGGTGACAAAGTGAGACCCTGTCTCAAAAAAAGAAAAGAAAAAGAAAAAAGAAAGAATGCTTTTTATCTTATGGGCTTGAAATACCTTTTGTCAAAACTGGAGCCACAGAAATAGTCTGTATTATTATGCAAAATGTACCCATAAAAACAAATTGGTAGAGTCCTCATTGTCAAATCAACCAACCCAGACTTACTTTTTGCTATTAAAAAAGCTAACTTTATTTTTCCATTCAATATTCAAATAAACAAGCCAGTGATGCGTCCCTGACAGCCCCACCGCTGACTACTCAATCCTAATCCCTGCGGAATGCCGGGTCGGGAAGGAGCCCAGCGCCCATGGGTACAGGCAGAGCCAGCGTCCCAGCCTTTCTCACTGGTGCTCTGCTCACGGGGGATTCTTATTCAAACAATAATTTGGGGAAGCAGGCGGGAAGACATCACATCAATACCGTCACCCTTCCTGCTGGCCCTCAGCAGGGTATCTACATTCAGAATGTCCTGACACGGACTAAAGTAGCCCTCCTCTAACAGAAGCATGACTGAGGCAGGGAGAGACACAAAGTCCTGCCACAGCTTTTGGAGCGTCTTGAAAGGAAAGGTATACAAGCCAGCCTTGTAGCCTTGTCTGATGGACCCAGGGGGGTTGACCTCAGGTAAACACAGAGAGGGATTTGGACCTGAGAGGCAAGGGGAGGGCGAGATCCCTGGGACAGGGGTACTCCCAGGCCAGCCAGCTCCTGGGAGAGAACGAGGAACAGACGCTTGAAGACGGATCCCTCGAGCCGTCCTGCCTGTGTGCCTCCAGTTTGAAGAGCCTTGCTTCAGAATGAAGGGAGGCTCCACTTGGAGTATTAATCGTTCACCCCAGCATCTGCTGATGGCGGGAAGACACGAGCAGTGTGTTTTCTGCAAACAGCCTGAAAAGTCTTCGGGGTTTAAGGAGTAACCATAAAGAAATGCAACTTGGGTAGCTTTAGATGCGTATGTCTTCATTTTAATTTTCATTTTTAAACAAAGTCACACATGAGCATAATTTAAAAATCCAAAGAATACTAAAGGCCTAGAATGAAAAGCAGCAGCAGTCTCTGGCCCATCCCTCTGCACCCATCAGTCTCGCTCCCCAAAGGCAACCAACTTCAGAGCTGCGGCCATTTCCTGGATTTCCCTCCGAGCATCTAAATCAATAGTGTCCACTGGGCCGGGTGTGGTGGCTCACGCCTGAAATCTCAGCACTTTGGGAGGCTGAGGCAGGTGGATCACGAGGTCAGGAGATTGAGACCATCCTGGCTAACACAGTGAAACCCTGTCTCTACTAAAAATACAAAAAATTAGCCGGGCGTGGTGGCGGGTGCCTGTAGTCCCAGCTACTCAGGAGGCTGAGGCAGGAGAATCTCTTGAACCTGGGAGGCGGAGCTTGCAGTGAGCCGAGATCGCGCCACTGCACTCCAGCCGAGGCGACAGGCCAAGACTCTGTCTCAAAAAAAAAAAAAAATAGTGTCCACTGCTCTTGCTCAACAGATCATCCTTAGGCTCATCCTTAGGGGTCCTGCATTTTCCTCCCACCACAGTGAAGAGAGCTTAGCCCTCCCCATCATCAGACACATACACATCCCCTCTCTCACCTTCCCAGGGTTATAATCATAGCTGTTGTCAGACATTAGCATTTATCTCATTAAAACTAGATTGAACCAAGGTAGCAAATCAAGTCCATACCTGTTTTCTTCCGTGTACCTTCTGTTTTTCTGAAGCTGATTGTCATATTTTCTCAATTGTCTTTTTTCCTCTAACCTTTAAAAAATATTTACCCCAGTTCTCCAATCTGTCACCTGTTTAATCAATATATTTCCATGCACTCAAACATACCAGTTTCTTGTTTTTCATAAAGATTTCCATCCTCCTGCTTCAGCCTGGATTCCTGGCTGTTGGTATGGGAAGTCTCTCCTTGCTATAATCTTGACGTGCTTGACTTCAAGCATGTCTTCTTCTTTGTTGGTTTACTCTCCTGTTTTACTAGAGTGTACCCTTCAGCAGTTTCCTAGGAAAGGGCCATGTAAAGTAACCTATTAAAGTCATGCACACTTAGAAATGCCATTATTGTACCCTCTCACTTAACTGATATTTTTCTTGGGTCTGAACCACACTCAATTGTCTTTTAAAATAAACATAGAAATCCACCCTCACAGTCAATTACCTTTATAATTGACAACTTCCATCCATCTTATCTGAGTTCCTTCCCCAGGAAGCCAATCCTCAGTCCTCCCAGATAGTATCAAGGAACTGAAACTCACCAGATCACCACATCCAGACAATGAAAAGCCAGACCCCCTCATTCTTTTTCATCTCCTTACCTCTCCCTAATTCCTGTTTAGCTGCCTGTAGTTACATTATTTCCCTGCTATGTGAGCCCTCAGTTTTAGTCAATCAAGGAGATGGATTTGAGACTGAGCTCCCATCTCCTCAGCTGCAGCACCCAGGTAGAGCCTTCTTCCCTGGCAATACTTGTTGTCTCAGTGACTGGCTTTCTGTGCTGGAAGCAGCAGGACCAGACCAAACCCCTGGTGTGTTGTTAACCAGTAGAATATTTGTTAATCAGACGAATGGCACTTTTCCCTCCAAATTTTAAAGGCTTGTTCTAGTGTCTTCCAGCTTCCAGTGATGATTCCTTTATTTGTAGGTGAAGTATTATTATTATTATTATTATTATTTTGAGACAGAGTCTTGCTCAGTCTCCCAGGCTGGAGTGCAATGGCACAATCTTGGCTCACTGCAACCTCTGCCTCCCAGGCTCAAGCAATTCTCTTGCCTCAGCCTCCTGAGTAGCTGAGATTACAGGCGCCTGCCACTGCACCCAACTAATTTTTGTATTTTTTAGTAGAGATGGGGTTTCGCCATGTTGGCCAGACTTGTCTCAAACTCCTGACCTCAGGTGATCCACCTATCTCAGCTTCCCAAAGTGCTGGGATTACAGGCGTGAGCCACCATACCCGGCCCTGTGAATTATTTTTATATGACCTTTTTTTTTTTTTTTCTGGAAGCTTTCAGAATCCTCTCTTTATCCTAGAGATTCTGAAATTTCTTGATCACGTGCGTTGGTGTGACTGTTTTGATTCACTATGCGAGCCATTCAGCGGGCCTTTTCCATATGAAGGCTCACATCCTTCTTTCTGGGGACTTTTCCTGTAACGTTCTGGGATAAATCCTCCTCTCCATTTACTTTTTCTAGAACTGCAGTTTGTTAGGTGTTGGATCTCCTAGATTGCCTAACTTTAAAAAAAAAAAAAAGTTTCCCTCCTATTCTTCTTTTGTGATTTAATTCCACGTTATGGGAGATTTTCTGAACGTCATCCTTCACCCGTTCTATTAAATTTTAAATTTTGCCTATCTTATTTGATTTCCAAAATGTATTTTTATTCTCTAATTGTTCCATTTTTATATATAGCATTCTGTGTTGGGGTGTAGCATCCTCTGTTAGCTCCCTGAAAATATTTATTGGATTTTTTTTTAAGTTTTCTTCTGCTCTTTGCATTGCCTCTGTTTCCTTCAAATGTCATTTCTTTATTTATCTTCCCCCGTTTGTTTGTTTTAGGCACTCCCTTTTATATTAGAAGCTTTCCTAGAATTTTTGATGACCCCTGGATATATTCAATCATGTAGCCAAAACAGCTCCATAGAAAACACAGCAGCTGTGTTGATGAGATGGAATTGTCAGCTGGTGGGCCTCACTGAGGCCTGGGGAGAACTACACCCTGAATCCCAGGCCCAGTCTTATTCAGAACTACTCCATTTTCCTTGAGTAGAAACCCCTAGTCTTCTGCCTTAGGGATGCAGGTTGGCTGTCAGCTTCCTGAACGCAGGGTAGGGGAGCAGGACTCCCACCTAGTCAGTATTGTAGAATTTTACCTAATCCCTTTGTTTTAAAACTCGTGCCTCGCTCTCCAGCCACATCACCAAGTCCTCCAGTTCTCCAAAGAATCACCATCCTCACTCCTTCCTCAGTGGGGCCAAGGGCATGGCCACCTGCTGTGCAGGCAGGAGCAGGGGCTTCACCTGGCCAGGTGAAGACTTTGAGTCACCCTCCCTTGTCTCATTCCCACATTCCCCTCTGCCTCAAAGGGATGCCCCCGGGCTCCAGGTCCTTTGCAGGCCTTAGAGACCCTGCACATCAACTATTCTCTGGAGAACTCTTCTGCAAGCCTCCAGGATGTAGCTTCTTTCTCTGCTGAGACACTAGCCACGCCTCATCTCCTTCGTAGGCTGCTGAGCCAGTAGTGTTGAACCCTCTCACCTGCCGTCCCCGCCTTTCCTATGCCCTTTGTCCTTGTAGGTTGACACCTGTGTCAGCAGAGAGAGGAAAGAGACGCAGGTGATTATTCTGTGTCAGACAGGGTTATGTGCGTAGATTGACCGAGATGAGTGTCCTGTGCTCTGAAGAACCTCAGTGGCTCCTCCTTCGGAATTGATTTAAGCAGTGGCAGCATCGTGTTTTGAAAATGGTCAATGGTGGGTTGGATTTATTGGAATTGCCCAAGGTGTTCGGTTCTATGGAACCTGCCCTAAAGGGTGCTCAGGGGAATAGGCTTTGGGGTGGGATCTGTTTGCAGGAGACGCACATTTTCTCTTCTTGGGGCTTGTTTCACATTTTATGTTGAAAGTTCTAATAAATTATGTAACAAAGCAACCCATGTGGTTGGATTTTCTAAGGTCACAGGACCACAATCCAGTTTTTGTGTGCAACACCTGCTAATATCTTCATGAGCTAAGTGATAAATCTGCTAATAGATTTTGGCCAGAAATGGTTGCTCAGAAACCCCCCATCCACCAGGCCCCCACCATGGGAAGCCAGCAGCCAGGGGGCCCCGTTCAGCTGTGCGTGGTGAAGCATCCTTTACACCCTCCAGGATGTGAGCACGTTGGCAGGGATGGACTTTTCGACCTCCAATACATAGACATCAGAGGAACAAAAGCCATGTGTTCTTTATTTAGGATTTTGACATGTGCAGTTTTGGGGATCTTGGGAATGTTGTAATTTTCCAGGGCAAACTTTGACACTTTGTTTCTGGGTCACAGAGAAGACACCACCTTTCATCGCCAATTATTGTTTTCCTCAAACCCAGGCTATTTTTGTCCAGTTTCCTTTGAAAGACCAGAACGAATGCTTGGCCTTATGATTTCTCCACTCGTCACTCAGCTTCATGGTACAGATCTCAGAGAGGCTCACCTTGGGTTCAAGCTGTCCTTCAGCACATGCCATGTACTCTCTCAAGTTAAGCCTTCCATCCTGCTCCCAGTGCTTAGCAATTGGCCAAATTCACGGATCTTACGTTTTTCAGGGTTCTGTAAGTGGCTGACTTCTCACTTGGATTGTCTCTGATATCTTCTAGATCTTGTTTAATTTTAATTTCATGCCACACTCACGTTCGATGTCATTTTGTTCCAAAAGTCCCTTTTCTATGTATTTAAATTTTACATGAACATTAGACTTCACATACACTTGATACTCATTCTTCGCTTCAAGTCACAATTACTTCCTTTCCAGCCAACGCATATTAATACATTCTTCTATGTTGTAGCCTTCTAGAACAAGACTAGTTTAGACATTGTTGAGATTAATGCTGCTGCACAGTGAAACAAGTTGTGACATGCTGGAGAACGCTTTGAGCCTGGATTTTTAAATTTGCAAATTAAGACTGTTGGACTAGACTCCATGCCTCTGAATATTACTAAGCTCAAGGGTTCTTCTGCTTCCATAAGTTACACGAACATAAGTTACAAGAACATTCTTTTTAACATTATTCATCACATTTCTCAAAAACTTTGGAGATCCAATTATGTTTTGGACTATTGCAGCTCTTTCAGGAATAAATTCTGTTAACAAATTCAAGTTTGCCCCTCGGCCCAGCACCTTGATGACAGCAATGGCTGCATGAATAAACACTTCGTTGGATTGTAGTAAGTTTTTAAGTTTCAAGCGTTACCCCCGGGACAATGGCCTTTCAGGGGAAGATGCTATGTCCAGAAGCACAGCATTTCCGCAAGAGACAAAGCAAGGAGGGGGAGTTCTGGGCACAGGAAGGAGTGAGGACAAACACAATGATAAGGACTGTCTGTTCCTTCAGTTTCCTGAAGGTCTTCAGAATATTCAGGAAAAGCTCGGTAAGTGGACAACTTCAGCTGAGAAATGGAGTTTGCACAGGAGTAAGATGGGGTCAGATATCGCAGGGTCTTGGTTGTCCACCTAAGGTCATTAGAATCGAATTCTGCAAGGGACAGGGAGTCACTGAACACCGCTGGGCAGGAGATGGCTATGACGAAGTCTTTGGCATTTGTGTGGAAACAAGAATGAAGGGGAGAGGCTGGAGGCAGGTGATAGTGAGGGCTAACTTCCAGGTGGAGATGCCCTCAAGGGAGGGTTGCTGCAGAGGGAGCGTGGAGGGCTTGGTGACTGCTGGGAGGAGGGAATGAGGGGGAAGCGAACAGCACTCCATTTCTGAGCCTGAAACGGAGATAATTACGGTGCCAACAGTAAGAAGGAAAACGCAGAGGGGAGAGTTGGTTTGGGGATAATTCTGAATTCTGTGTTAGATAGGCTGTGTTAGAGGGGACAGCTGACCTAGGGGCAGAGGAAGAGAAGGTCTGAGAGCTCCAGAACTCCAGGGCCTGCTGAGCACACTCACCACGACATCTGTGCCTCCGATCGGTCGCCTCTGCTTCTCCGTGCACGGTCCCAAACTGAAAAGTCCCCATTTCAGTCTGTTTCCCAAGGACAGTCTCCTCACCTCCACTCACGGACGTCTGTCACCCTCAGCTCCTGGCACCTTCGTCAAGTTTCATGAGCACCACGGGACTCTAGTTATAGATATAGCCCAGGGAGGCCCAGAGACGTCACAAATCTGAAAGATTCTTTTCTTTTTGCAATATTCTTTCTGATTATAAAAATACACATTTCTTTTAAGTAACTCAAGCCCAGAAATTTATACACGAAAAGTCCAAGACCAAACTCCTGCACATGTAAACACGTAAACAGATGTAATCATGCATCCATAAGTATGGAGACATGTAAATACATATCTATACAAACATGGCAATAAAAATGGAGAACGATCCAAATATCCAATAAAGTAAATAGATAAATTATAAATATTTATACAATACAGTACTATTCTGCAGTGGAAATTAGTGAATTATAATCACTATTATACATCTATAGGATGCACATCGCTATACATCAATAGGAACAAACCTCACAAATAGTGTTTAGTGACAGAAATAAGTCAAGGATAAATACTAACAGTATGATATTCTTTATATGAGATCAAAACCAGATAAAGTTGTTCAACAGGTGGGGCGCAGTGGCTCACGCCTGTAATCTCAGCACTTTGGGAGGCCGAGGCAGGCGGATCACGAGGTCAGCGGTTCGAGACCAGCCTGACCAACATGGTGAAACACCGTCTCTACTAAAAATACAAAATTAGCTGGGCGTGGTGGCACACACTTGTAGTCTCAGCTGCTCAGGAGGCTGAGGCAGGAGAATCACTTGAGCCTGGGAGATGGAGGTTGCGGTGAGCCAAGATGGCACCACTGCACTCCAGCCTGGGCTACAGAGCAAGACTCTGTCTCAAAAGAAAAGAAAAAAAGTTGTTCAGGAACATACACATAACTGGTGAAATTATAAAGGTAAGTGAGGAAATGGTTGTGATATGGTTTGGCTGTGTCCCCACCCAAATCTCATCTTGAATTGTAGCTGCCTCCTATAATTCTCACACGTTGTGGGAGGGACCCAGTGGGAAGTAATTGAATCACTGGAGCAGGTCTTTCCCGTGTTGTTCTTGTGATAGTGACTAAGTCTCAGAAGATCTGAAGGTTTTATAAAGGGGAGTTCCTCTGCACACGCTGTCTTGCCTGCCACCTTGTAAGATGTAACTTTGCTTCACATTCACCTTCCACCAAGATTGTGAGACTTCCTCAGCCTTGTGAAGCTGTGAGTCCATTAAACCTCTTTCCTTTATAAATTACCCAGGCTCAGTTATGTCTTTCTTAGCAGCATGAGAACAGCCTAATACAGATTGTCACGAAGTCAAGGCAGTGGTTCTGTCTTTGGTACTCCCAAAGAAGCACATGAGTGATTGCTAAGATACTGACAACTTTGGTTTCTTTCTTTTTTTTTTTTTTTTTTTTTTTTTTTTTTTTTTTTTTTTTTTTGAGACAGAGTCTTGTTCACTCACTAGACTGGCTGGAGTGCAGTGGCGTGATCTTGGCTCTCTGCAACCTCCACCTCCTAGGCTCAAGCGATTCTCCTTCCTCAGCCTCCTGAGTAGCTGGGACTACAGGCACCTGCCACCACACCTGACTAATTTTTGTATTTTTAGTAGGAACAGGGTTTCACCATGTTGGCCAGGCTGGCCTCGAACTCCTGACCTCAGGTGATCCACCCACCTCAGCCTCCCCAAGTGCAGGGATTACAGGCACGAGCCACCACTCCTGGCTGACAATTTCGGTTTCTTAACCTTGCTCTGGTTACATGGATGCTGGCTTTATTATTGTAACATAGTAAGAAAATACAGATTTGGTCCAGCATTTCCAATATGCTCGCTGTGGGTCATCTTTTGGTCCATGTTTCAGCCAATCAACCAACCAAACTGCGAGAGCCTTTCCAACTTGCTTAGCTGCAACGTCAAACGCAGAAGCTCTGCGAGCCAGACTTAAAACGAACTCAGCCTGCTCCGGCCTTAGGCTCCTCCCAGCATCATCTCACACTCTTGATGTCCCTCCACACCCATTTCCCAGGTTTCTTTCTATATACATGAGAAAACGTGGGCACTCTTTGGGAGTGCGGCACACCTCCTCCTGGCTCCCACTGTGCCTAACCTTTAGGGACCTGCTGGCACTGGGGTCTAGTTCTAGGTCTAGAAGCAAAGCAGGTGGTAGGGGTGGGAATCCAGAAACCTCAGAAGCAATTCGGGAAACTTATTCTTAAAGTCCTGTCCTTTAGCCACTCTCAGTAGTGAAGTCTGTATTAGTCAAAGTTCTCCAGAGAAGTCCCAGCCTCTGCAGCCAGCAAGCTGGGCCCCGGGGGAGCTGATGTGGAGTTCTAGCCGGACTCGAAGGTCTGAGAACCAGGACTGCCAGTGGTGTCCCCTCCAGTCTGAAAGCTGGCAGCCTCGAGACCCAAGAAGAGCCAATATTTTAATCCAAGTCCAAAGGCCAGAAAAACCAAAGCCCCAGCTCAGTAGGCAGGCAGGAGTTCCCTCTTACTCAGTCTGTATGTTCTAGTCAGATCTTCCATTGATTGGATGAGGCCCACCCCTTCAAGGGAAGGCAATCCGCTTTACTTGGTCCCTCGTTCCAATGTTAACTTCATCCAGAAACCCCTCAGAGACACACCCAGGATAATGTCTGAATCAATGTCTGGGCACCCCATGGCCCAGTCAAGCTGACATGCAAAATCAACCACCACACTGAATTGCAGGCCATGCTTTATGTGCATGCTCACTACTGGTGAAAGAGGGGAAGGGGAGTAATGGCCGAAATCATTGAAAAGCTGGCCAGGCCCAGTGGCTCATGCCTGTAATCCCAGCACTTTGGGAGGCCGAGGTGGGAGGATTGCTTGAGCCCAGGAGTTTGAGACCAGCCTGAGTAACAAAGTGAGACCTTGGTCTCTACAAAAATTTAAAAATTACCTGGGTGTGGTGGCACACACCTGTGGTCTCAGCTACTTAGGAGGGGCTGAGGCAGGACCCTGGGAGTACGAGGCTACAGTGAGCTGTGATTGCACCACCACACTCCAGCCTGAGAGACAGAGCGAGATCCTGCCCCCCCACCCAAAAAAAAAAAAACGGAATCTAAAAGTTACTTACAAAAGATTAGACTTTTGATTGTTTTTTAAATTTTTGTGACAGTTACGTATGCTGTTCTAGAATTTCACAATACATTCAAGAAAGACCCAAGGTAAGATGACTTCTTGGGAGGAGCTATAAGGCTATTCTTGTTTTTCTAACCAGCTACTCCTTGCTATGATCTCCTCTCCTCTTAGTTCAGACTTATGTGAATTTTCTCCCTACCTCAATCCTATTAATTGATTTGTTTTGTATTTCTGGAATATAATAGGAGTTATAAAATAATTTCAAAGCAAAAACTCGTAAGTACTTCTTTCCACCTGTGCTTTAAGCTTGACCCCTGGCTACAGAGAAGAACTTAAATAACCTACCTTTGTTAAAATTATTTTTATTTAAATAATGTATTAAAGAAAGCTAGGTGTCCTCTTACAACCATCTCTCCTGCTTTCTAAAAGGGATCCATTTAGGAATTAACAAATAGGCCATGCAGTACTGGTGCTTCGTCTCACAAAAGGCAGCTCTGCAGATTGGAAGCCCATGGCCTCATGGCAGGACCTCTCCAATGGCGTGAAAGCCCAGAAATCTTTTCCCTCCTTCCCATCTCCTATTCTAGATCCCTTTCTATTCAGTTTTCTTTCTTCCTGATATGGTTTGGCTGTGTCCCCACCCAAATCTCATCTTGAATTGTAGTTCCCATAATCCCCAAGTGTTGTGGGAGGGACCCAGTGGGAGACAATTGAATCATGGGAGTGGTTCCCCCATGCTGTTCTCATGATAGTGAGTGAGTTCTCATGGGATCTGATAGTTTTATAAGGGGCTTTCCCCTTCACTGGGCACTCATTCTTCTCTTTCCTGCCGCCTTGTGAAGAAGGACATGTTTGCCTCCCCTTCTGTCATGACTGTAAGTTTCCTGAGGCCTCCCCAGCCCTGAAGAACTGTGAGTCAATTAAATCTTTTTCCCTTATAAATTACCCAGTCTCGGCTATGTCCTTATAGCAGAGTGAGAATAGACTGTACCCTTCCTTTTTAAAAGCATGTGTATTGTCCTTTCAGGTACCCAAGTACTGAGCTTTGCACTTTGGGAGATTAAAAACAATGGAAACATAAATCCTAAATGAAAGAATTTCAAAATTTCTGGCAAACAACACTTATGTAAAATTAGAAGCTAATACAAGAGAGCAGAGTATAATCAAGTGTGAGATTAGGTATTAGTGACTTTAACTGCAGCTGAATTTTTTTAAATAAGTAGGAAAATAGGATCAAAGTAAACTGAAAAGGTCTCACGAGGCTGGGCTTGCAGGAAGCCAAAGATTTGGCTTGCTTGGATGGAAGCAGTTCTCAATTTGATGGGAAAGGGGTCTTGTAGAGGCTGCTCCCCTTCCCATTCATCAACTTTCTTCATCCCCTTTTCCTGTTTATATCCATTCATCTTTGTGCTTCTCTCTCAGGTTTGCTGGGTATCTCAAGATTTACAGCACTGAGATGTTTGCCCATGACCCTGTTTTATGGATTATGCTTTTGGTACAGCCTGTGAAACTCCCCATGAAATCCAAGGTCATGTAGATTTTCTCTGATGTTTTCTTCTAAGTGTTTTATAGTTTTGCATTTTACATGTAGATCTATGATTCCTTTTGAGTTAATTTTTTTGTAAGGTTTAAGATCTATATCTAGGATCTTTTGGGGAAGAGGGAGAACATATAAACATCCAATTGTTGTAGCACCATTTATCCAAGTAAAGGATAGCTGGAAATAATCCTTTATCCATTTAATTGCTTCGTGCCTTTGTCAAATATATTTGGGGGGTGACATTTTGGGTCTCTGTTCTGTTCTATTGATCTTCGTGTCCACTCTTAAACCAGTCCCACACCATCTGGGTTACTGTCATTTTACGTTCAGTTGAGCTCAGACAGGATGATGGCCTTCTCACCCCGGCTGCTCTCCTGTATTTGCCTATCTCCCTGTTTATGGGTTTATGAGCAACATTTTTCTTCCTCTCCTTCATGTAAAATAAGGTTCATAAAATTTTCAATAATACTAAATAAAATAATGTTTTAAATATTTTTAAATAGTTGTGTTGAGGTATGATGTGCATACCCCAAAACTCACTTGTTTTAATTGTATTACACTTAAAGTAGTTTTGGGTGTGGACTCTGACATCTGTGCCCATGTATTCTGCCTCCCTCCCATTGCGATGGATTCCATTTCTGTGTTCCTGGGCGATGCCAGCCCTCCACTTGGTCTTTTGTTTCGTTATGTCTGCCTTTGTTTCAGAAAACACTAGTACACGTTCCTCATCTGTGAATGGATATTGTGAGGGTTAATTTTATGTGTCAACTTGTCTGGGCAAGGTATGCCCAAACAGTTGGTAAAACAGTATTTCTGGGCTTGTATGTGGGCGTGTTTCCAGAAGAGGTCAGAGTTTTCGTGAGTGGACTGAGTGAGGAAGATGCACGTTCGCCAGCGTGGGTGGGTATCACCCGATCTGCCGAGGCCCAAATAGGAAAAAAGGTGGAGGAAGGGTGAATCCTCTCTCTTCTTGAGCTGGGACTGTCAGCATCTCCTGCCCTTCAACCTCAGAACTCCTGATTCTCAAGGCTTCAGACTCCAGGACTCACACACCAGCTTCCCCCACCCATTTCCCTCACCCTCCATTTCTCAGGGCTTCAGACTTGGGCTAAGTGACATCACCAGCTTTCCTGGCTCTTCAGCTTGCAGACAGTAGATTGTGGAACCTCTCAGCCTCCATAATTGCATAAGCCAATTCTCACAATAAATCTCCTCTTAGGCATCCATCTGTCTGTCTGTCTATCTACACTTTATTGTTTCTGCATCTCTGGAGAACCTTAATACAGCCACTAACATGGTAGATTTTATGTAAAAAAAAAATAAGGCGGAACAGCTAAAATAGGATAAATCTTAATCTAACAATTTTTTCGATCATAGAAAATATTAAATTAATTATGATATTTAGAACAGTTTTGGGTTTTCTTTAAGACAGAGTCTCACTGTGTCACGCAGGCTGGAGTGCAGTGATGTGATCATAGCTCACTGCAACTTCAAACTCCTGGGCTCAAGTCATCCTCCCACCTCAGCCTCCCAAGTAGCTGTGACTTCAGGTGTGTGACACCATGTCCGGCTAATTTTTTTTAATTTTTACTTTTTTGTAGAGAGAGGGTCTCACTATGTTGCCCAGGCTGGTCCCAAACTCCTGCACTCAAGCAGTACTCCCACCTTGACCTCCCGAAGTTCTGGAGTTACAGGCCTGAGCCACCCTCCCGACCTAGAATGGTGTTTATCTAGTGACCAACTCCAAGGCTAAAAAAGAGTTGCCTTTCACACGTAATTTCTGGAATCATAATGTTCTAATGCAGTTTGTAACTAAATTTATACTATTCAAAAAATCTAACCAAAACAAAACCAATGGGCTTGAATTATTTTTGAAATATCAAGAACTTTGTAACTTCCAATCAATAAAATCTTTAAAAGAAAATTAATCTTCTAAAAAAAGAGGTTAAAAATAAACTAGTTGGAAAATGTTAAAGAAGTACTTCCATAAACATGGGATACAAATTTCTGACATGCTATTTGTGATCATGTTAATTTGCTAACCCTAGGAACTGCTTATTAATGGAAATATTTTTGCTGAGACATCTGCAACGCAGCTTTGATGTCTTGTTAAACTATCAAAAATACAAGATGCAAATGCTGTATTTCCAAAGCAACTTAAAACTCTTCACAATACACACCCATGGCATTTTTAATATTTTGTTATAAGAAGGAATTACCTGTGCTCTCACTTCAAAATAACTTTTAAATAACTTTACACTTTAAGAGATCATCAATTCTTTTTTAATAATAGAATAGTTATGAGAAATGCAAACTGTTTTTGGAAAATAGGTCCAGGCACTGAGCATTTTCAACATCCTGGGACTCTTTAGAGAAAAGGATATTTTCTGAAAAATGGGTATAGTACCATTCCAGATATGCAGTTAAACTTGATAACTCACCTTTAATTTCATAAGAAAGGAGGGCTGGGCACGGTGGCTTATGCCTGCAATCCCAGCTACTTGGGAGGCTGAGGCAAGATAATCACGTGAACCCGGGAGATGGAGGTTGCAGTGAGCCGAGATGGCACCACTGCACTCCAGCCTGTGCAACAGGGTGAGACTCGTCCAAAAAAAAAGAAAGAAAGAAAGAAATGAGTTTAGGTATCTAAAAAACAAGGAATATTAGCACCCAAGAAGTCTAATTCTAATGACAAGAAACTGTATTCTGCTAGCCAGAAGGTGACCCAAAAGAAGAGATCAAATGCAACCAAAAGTGGGATGAAAGCAAACCCTCCTGTGTATCATTTGAAATGATAGAACCACTTCATGATTTCCTCATCGGCAAGCCTGAGGGAGCTGGATGAAATGACCACAGCATTTTCTTCTTACTCCACATGCCTGTGACTGTCTCTTTAATACTCCCTGGAGCCTGGAAACTGAGTTCACCTACATTGCTGGAGAGGCAGAAGGCACAGCAGGAGGTATATTAATTAGCTTTGGTGTCAGGTGTGAGTTCAAATCCCTGTTCTAACACGTACCAGCTGCGAGGCATTGGGGACGGTTTTGAAGCCTTAGCTCCCTACAGATTAGGGAGCTGATATTTGCAAAGTGACTAACACATAATAAGCATGGGGGAGGTAGTACCAGTTGTCAAAGGGATAATTCTTGTTCCTTCATCATTTGTACTTTTAAAGGACAAACTTAGGCTGAAAAATCAATGGCCATTACATAAATAAATAACAGAGCCAGGCCCATAACTCAAGCCTTGTGACTCAGCTGTTCTTTCAATTTACAATTTATTAACCAAAGAACTCACCAATTTAGTGATGGGTTTGATCAAATCAGCTACCTGACAATGTAAAATTTAAATGCACACACACACACACACACACACACACACACACACACACCACCAGTTTAAATCTATTTCAAATTAGTTATGTTTATACCAAAAGGCAGAGTTCAGTTTAGGAGATCCCATCAGTGAGGATGGTGTAGCTGGACAGAGGAATTTTGAGAGAGATGAGGATTCAAAGATCCAATGAGTTCCTGGTCCAGGATCACCTGCAGATCTGGACTTCGTTCCTGTCTAGCAGTGAGGCTGCTGTGATTCAAAGGAAGAGCCAAGAGGAAGGAGCTGGGGAAACCTGGGGCTGCCTCGGCTGAGCACGTGTTTCATGCTCTTTGCCAGCCTTTTCTACAAGGAAAGATGGAGACAGATGCTGCCCAGGCCTGCGCAGCCAAGAGTGGTGGACACTGGGGGAAGCTGGTACCGCGGTGTGCATGGAAAATGCATCAGATCTGGACTTAGACAACTGGAGTTGGTGTTTTTGTTCTGTCACTAGCTGGGTGGCTTTGGGGGAAGGAGTGGTCTCCAACTCCTGAATGTTAAGTTTTCTCAAAATAGATAATGTCAATGTTTTAGAGGACAGTTATAAAAATCAAATGTGCTATTGTGTAAAAGTTACACGTTTTCTGTATCTTAGCCTCCTTATTTGTAAACTAGGGAAAGTAACAGTATTCACTGTGTGGGATTATCAGAATTTAAAGAGTTAATCCGTGTGAAATGCTGATAGGAGTGTCTGGCTTGCAGCAAGCACTCCAATTGGTAGGCAACTGGTTACATAACACAGAAATGTCACCAGGCCATTTCAACCCACTGTCCACTGTGACTGCTGCATTTATTGGCTTTTGGCTTTGGTGACTGACTTGTCATTATGAAAGGGAAAAGGGCTCCTGTTTTGCCTGTTTTCTTTTTTCCTTATGAGACCACAATCATTTAAAAAAAAACTCTACAGCAGTAAAAATTTTTAAAATATACATATATTACTTATATATTAACATTTATTAAGCATTAATACTGTTCAATAATAGAATATGAAGAAAAATACATATAGTGGTATTTAGGATTATAATCTTACACAGAATAGTGACAAGAGACATATGAAAGGGCAAGTGTATTTAAGCTAGATGACAATAAGACTGCAAATAAGATGAATATATTCAACACTATGTACACACTTTAAGGTCGTGGCTTAATCCATGCATAATAATTGGATGAGTGATATCCATCGATTGCTAGCCTGATACTGAACATTGTTCCAAAATAATTAGTAGGAAAAAGATGTCTGATGTTAACAAAACAAGACTCTTTTTCTCTATAAGTATAATTCACATGGCTATAGATTTTTAAGTTTTACTTTTCTAAAACAGAAAGCCTTGAAGAGACTCCAAACCCTATTTTAAAACAAGAAAACTGACAATGATGATGATGATACTGATGATGATGATGCAGCAAATAAAGCTTAAATTAAAATGTATCTTGGAAAAATATGAGAATCAGCTCATCCCTAACTGGTAAGGAGCACTCACGGTAAGTATCACGTCAAGAGTGGGTGGCATCTGGAGCCACACTGCCTGGGCCCGGACCCTGGCTCTGCCACTCAGTAGCTGTGTGACTTTGAACAATTCCTTAGCATCTCTGTGTCTCACTTTCTCATTTGTGAATTGAGAATAATAGTAACTATTTTATGAAGTTGTCATGAAGATCAAATTAGGTCTTAGAACATTGTCAGATACACAGCGTGTTCAAACACGGTAAGCCATTTTATTATAACAAATGCATACAATACTGTAAGTATCCAAAATGAGTACAGGATAAAGAATAACTGATAAAATATTCAACACAAAAGGTTGAGTTTGGGGGTTCACTTGAATATAAATCATCCCCAGCCCATTAATACTGATAGAGATACAACTCAACATAACCATGCCATATATTAAAATATCTTTCATTAAACCTAAGCAAGACACCATCAACTACAGGAGTTTTAGGAACCATTAAGAAAAAAAAAATGTTGCCATAGATTTTATTGACTACAAGACATATTCTAATTTCCGACAAGTTAGAATGTAAGAAGAAAATATGTATCTTAGAACCAAAGAAATTCTGATATGAGCAAACTGGAAAGTGGTCAGCAGAGTTAGGCTGCAGAAGAGTGTGTGTAAGAACAAACATGCAGACACAAAGTGCAGCTTTCCCACTGGCTTCTGAGGTGGAAGATGTGTTTCTGGGACATAAGCTCTCGCTTCGGGAGAGTTTAGCGTCTCATTAACTACCAATCCCTGCTTACTCCACAGAGGGTGTGGACTGGCATGGGAGCCCCCCAGGACCACATCCGGCCACACCTGCAAGAACAGGGAGAAGCCCCCAAGAGTTCCTGTTACCACTGTTCTGGCAGGGAGAGAAGAATCTAAAAAACAGATAGCAATTGAATGTTTATATTATAAATATCTATAAGCAAATTTTGAAAACCGAGCAGATTCTGGGAGAGTTTGAAAGTCTGAGAGTCCCTTTAATAAAAATAATTCTAGAAAAGCTGTGAAACTTCACATTTCCCCTACTCTTAACCTTACTTGCCTTTGGGAGGCTGAGGCAGGAGGATGACTTAAGGCCAGGAGTTTGAGAATGTAGTGAGCTATGACCACACCACTTACACTCCAGCCTGGGCGAGACCACAACAAAAACCTGACCTGCACACTGCTCCACACTGGGAATTCATTTCGTTTCTTGGATTGTGGAAAGAACTGGCTTACTGAAACCCACCCTTCTCTAAAACCCTTCTTCCAGTTAGGTGTTAAGATTTTAACAGCCTTTTCTATCTGAATAAAAACTGCACACAAAGCAAACTTAAGAGATGTCAACAACTCATCTGTTTGTTACAAGATGAGTCTCCATGCTTCATTGGCTGTGGGGAATCCTCATCAGCATCTAGTGGCAAAGACTCCTGTGTGCTCACCGAAACGCTCCCCTTCCTCCAGGGCACAGTCACATGGATTTCCCAGGCACCCTGGCAGCTCAGTAGGAGTCCATGACTTAAGCAGGCCAATGGACTGTGGGTGAAGTCTGTGGATGGGGAAGCCACATGCGTTGCTTCCGGGCCTGGGTGTGTGCATCCTCCACTCTTTTCCCCTGTGGGTGCAGAAGGCGGGGCAGAGGGCCCTGAAACCTTGGAGGTCAGTGGAGCCCAGAATGAAGGGGCTTGGGCCTCTGGGTCTTCATGTAAATTTAGGTAACAGTGAACTGTCATATGAACAAGAAATAAACATCAAATGTATTCAGTCAATTAGATTTGGTGATGGTTGTTACAGCGGTTACCCTCCCTCAATATAATAAATTCTCAAACAACTCATAATGGCTCACTCATGTATAAAATATTCAATATGGAATCCCAGGATAACATGCTTATTCTAGCTCAAGCTTAATCAGAGTAATCCATCTGAGGGAGGAGATAGTAGAGGGCAACAAGGGGTGGTCATTGAAGATAACTAGCCTTGCTAAAAGAATGGTTGAAGAACTGAGCTACAGATAGGATAAACCCACATCTCAGACATTCTGTGATGGTGTATAAGAGGATTAAATAATCATCCATGTGGGAGGCACAGCCTTGCACTTTAAAATGATGGCGCTTCTCAAGACTGGCTGTGAATATCTATCCCTGGGAGGGTTTTTCCCCCCATTTTTTTCCTTTTTATGAGACAGGTTCTTGCTATGTTGCCCAGGCTGGTCTTGAACTCCTGGGCTCAAGTGATCCTCCCGCCTCAGCCTCCCCAAGTAACTGGGATTACAAGTGCACGCCATCATGCCTGGCTTCAGTCCCTGAGAGTTTGCAACAAAGCATGCTATTACGGTTGAAAGATTTCCAAAATCACAAGCAGAAAAGCTTACAGGGGCCAGGCAGGTAACAGGGTGGGCAGAAAGTGAGAGGGAAGGTGGGACCTGTAAGGAGCTGTGGCACAACCACCCAGGTTGGAGTGCAGTGGTGCGATCGCGGTTCACCACAACCTCCATCTCCCAGGTTCAAGTGCTTCTCCTGCCTCAGCCTCCTGAGTAGATGGGGCCATAGGCGCCTGCCAGCACGTCTGCCTAATTTTTGTATTTTAGTAGAGACGGGGTTTCGCCATGTTGGCGAGGTTGGTCTCGAACTCGTGACCTCAGATGATCCGCCCACCTCAGATTCCCAAAGTGCTGGGATTACA